ATCATTTTGAAATACCCGACTGGGTATTATGGCCAGGGATCGCGACCTGCTACTTTTTAAGGGAAAGAAGACCAATTTTTGAGGGGTTCAGAGTTTTAGAGATAGAAAGTTGATACCTAGAGAGAAATGACGAACGAGATTTTCCAAGCGCCCTAGATAGATCTTCATAACCATTGGAGCTCGGCTTAAGCTTGGAGAAGTGCCGATTGATTGCCAGGAGCAGAATCCCATCCTTCACTGCATGGTTTCCACATCTGAGCTAGATCTCCCTTCTCTCTCTATGGAGTAAACTCTCTCACTCACCTGGGTATGAATAACCCTAGATTTGTATGTTAGGTCTGATTGTATGAACCCAAGTACGAATTCATTGATGTTGATTATATCCAATTGAGGTTTGATTTCCTGAATGGCATAAATCTTGATCAAATTCCTGTTATTTCTGCTTTGACCTAGAAAGAGAATATATGCCTAGGTTGATAGAGCACCCTTGATTGAAGGTAGTGAATTGACGACTTTAGTCGAGTAGTCAATTCACTAGTCTGTACCGAATTTACTCCGGTAGAGGAGATTTGGTTCGTTAGGGCCTTAATCTGTTTACTCCTTTGGAGGTTAGTCGCCCGTTGGGGACTCAGATTGAGAGGGTCTGGAGACCTTTAGTCGAGACTGGAGACTGTTTAAGAACCTCCCGCGGTATAACTATCATTGAACACAACTTTCACTATTTTTGCTTGCTAGTTTAGTTAGACCTTCACTACACTTGAACTGCTAAATAATAAGATTTTCACGGAGTAGTCATCACACCTAGTACCCGGGTTGACATTTAGAACTAAACCCGCTATACTAAACATTAGTAGGTGGTTACACTTGGGCACTTCCTAGTGTGACGGTAGAGGCGTGTCAAGTTTTTGGCGTCGTTGCCGGGGACGGCTAGGTTTTTGAACGAATGTGATTTTTGTTACTTTAGCGTTTCTTTTCCGCATTGACTGTTTGCTTTTTCCCACTTGTGCCTTCACGTGTTTGCTTGCTTGGCTGTGTGCAGGTAGTGCATGACCCGTAGCCAGTTAGGAGGTTTACTACCGTTAGATCCGGAGCTAGAACGCACCTGTCGCCTGCTAAGGAGACAAAAACGAGCAAGACTGGCTACGGAGGAAGTGCACGTCGACGACCATCTAAGCAGCGACTCCGAAGAGGAATATGAGATGGGTGACGAGCATAAAAATGCTAACCTTAACCTGGGGAATAATCAACCCCTCGGGATACCCATGCAGGTTCCCCTAGTGAATTAGGTCCTGGCGAACAACCCAGTCCCTCAGGCAGATGGGGCTCAGCATCCACCACCCCTCCGGGTCCTACTAAGGAGTACTACTACACTCCACGGATCACCGACATCTGCCCCGTCATCCTGTATCCGCCCAATACAACAAACAAATTTGAGATCAAGCCATGCTGGATTCAACTGATTACATCCTCTATCAAGTTCCATGGCTTGAATGACGAGGAGGCGAGGGTGCACCTTTCCCGGTTCCTGCAGCTGACAAATGGATTCAAAATGAATGGTGTACCCGATGATGCGATCCGTCTCCACCTTTTCCCCCATTCTCTGGCGGGGCATGCGAAGAGGTGGTTAGAGACCCAGCCCCCACTGTCCATCACGTCGTGGGACGACTTGGCCGACAAGTTTGTGCACACGTACTATCTGGCCTCGAAGACCAAGGAGATTCAGCGGGAGATCACTCATTTCCGCCATGAGCTAGATAAGTCACTACGTGATGCTTTGGAGCGGTACTCGGGATTCTTCTGGCAGTGTCCCCATCACGGTATCAGTGATGCATTCATAGTGGGGAATTTCTACAACGCTCTGACCCTAGAGATTTAGAGGGTGATCGAGTCTCTAGGCCCAGGAGGGATATTCTCACCAAAACTCCACCCGAGCTGAATCAGATGATTAGCACTCTGGATGCCTGGGATCACTCTTTGGGCCAGAGCACCAGAAGTAGGTGTTTCCGGGACCGAGGTGTGCACACCATGGAGTCTAGGTCCGGGCTAGAGTGGGAAGTGACCGAGTTGGTCCAGACATTGAAGCAGCCCAATAGTCTTATTCCGGGCAGAGGGCTGGCCAGGCCTTCAGTTGCACAGTGTTAGTGGTGTGAGAGTTCGAACCATCTGGTGGAAGACTGTCAGGCTATGCGGGAATCCTTTACACCCCAGAAGCAGTTGGACTTCATCGCCAATGCTCGTCGCCTTGATCCTTACAGTGGAACAAATAACGAATGGTGGCTCCAACACCCCAACTTCTCCTGGAATAATAGCAACACCACTAAACCACCTGGTTTCCCAGCACCAGCAGGTGGTTTTCAACAGTGATTTGTACAAATATGGGTCTTCCTTCTCTTTATCACTGAACTGTGTCAAACTTGTTTTCATGTATGATGGGGTTTTGGTTAGTTTTCCGTTTAGGAAACCTGTATCCATGAGTAGGTCTAAGCAATATTTCCTCTGAGTGACTGAAATGCCTGCACTGCTTCTAGCTACCTCTAATCCAAGGAAGTATTTCAGGTTTCCAAGGTCTCTTACCTTGAAATGCTGTGATAGGAACTCATTGGCCTCTTGTATTAAGCTTAGGTTGTCAGCAAATAGGACGAGATCATCAACATAAACTACAACGATTTTGATAGAGTGTCATGTTCTCTTGGTGAAGAGAGAGTAATCAGAGTAGGATTGGATGAATCCAAAACTTACTAGGGCCCCATATAGCTTGGCGTACCATTTCCTTCCATCTTGCTTCAGTCCATATAGCGGTTTCTTTAATCTGCAGGATTTTCCTAGTATATCCATACCTGGAGGGAGTTTCATGTATACCTCTTCCTGTAGATCCTCATTTAAGTATGCATTGATGATGTCCATTTGGTTGAGGTTCCAGCCTCTAACCGATGCCATTGTTAAGAGTGTTTTGATTGTGTTGATCTTAACGACGGGAGAGAAAGTATATAGGAAGTCGATCCCAGGTATTTGAGTGAAACCCTTGGCGACCACTCTAGCTTTGTGCCTTTCTAATGAGCCATCAGATTGTACAACTACATCCCATGTTTCATTGGCTTCTAGTGTAGTTCTTTCAACTTTCATTGCTTGTCTCCAGTGTTCTTCTTTCATTGCTTCTTCGAAAGATTAAGGTTCTTGTAAGTTGGTGACTGCCATGGAGAAATGTTTTTGTGGTTGGCTGAGTTGGGAGTAATCCATATAGGCTGATATGGGATACTTGTTGTTGACTTTGATCTGAACACTTTCCATGAAGTAATCACCATGCCAAGCAGGTGGTTTGGTAGTTCTGTCTGACTTTCTTAAGTTTTGTCTAGGTTTAGGTGATTATGGATCTTGTTCATCCATGGCCTCGAATGGAAGGAAACCAGTGTGTGTTGGAGGATCAACAGGGGGAACAACATTAATGAATGGACCATGATGTGTATGCAACTAATCATATGCAGGATTTGGTGTAGTGGGAGATGTAGGAGATGAGGGAAAAGAAGCAGAAGAAGGATTTGGTTCCAGAGTGGGAGACAAGTCAGAGGTGGTTGGTGCAAAGGGAAAATTTGTTTAGTGGAAGAGGACATCTCTGGAGACAAAAACCTTTTTGGTGGTTAAGTCAAATATTCTGTAGCCTTTGATGCTAGGTACGATTCCGAGGAACACAACTTTTCTGGCTCGTGGTTGAAATTTTGCTCTGCCACTATCGAGGGTAGAGGCATAGCATGGAGAGCCGAAAGCTTTGATGTGAGAGTAATCTGGTGGGTGGTGGTAGAGTTTTTGGTAAGGTGATTGATTGGAAAAAATGGGTGTAGGTAGGCGATTAAGGATGTGTACTTTATAAAGAACACGGTCACTCCCGAATTGTAGTGGAATGTGGGATTGGAATATGAAGGCTCGGGCGATGTTGAGAATGTTCTGATGTTTTCTCTCCACACGTCCATTTTGTTGTTTCCTTTCGACACAAGACATTTGGTGGGTAATGTCATGCTCTCTAAAGAATTCTGTCATGTGAAACTCCTGTCCTTGGTCACTTCGGATGGTTTGGACAGGTTTGTTGAATTGAGTTTTCACCATGGTGCGGAACTGTTTTAGAATTGGCCTAACTTCGGATTTGTGTTTCATTAAGTAAGCCCAAACAGCTCGAGAGTGATCTTTGACGATGGTTAGGAAGTATGAATAACCATCATAAGAAAGGGTATTCAAGGGACCCCATATGTCACTATGGATGATTTGAAATGGTTTCATACAAGTAGTAGAGCTGGAAGTAAAGGGAAGTTTCTTTTGCCTTGCAAAATGGCAGGTTTCACAATGACTAATGGTGCCTATAGGCACTTGAGGGTTACATTGGAGGAAAAGTTTTGCTCTAGAATTGGAAAGGTGGCCTAATCGTGCATGCCACAGTTTAGCTTTTGGGGTTGAGAAGTGTGTAACAGCAGCAGTGATGGATGGTGATAAAGCTGGATCAGGTTTCGGAGTGACTGCTTTAAGTTGGTAGAGTCCCCTAACTTCTCTGGCAGAACCAATCCTCCTCTTTGAGGGAAGGGCATGGATGTCACAAAAGAAGTATCGAAAGGTTAGGGTGACAGGTATGGTTTTAGTGAGAGTGTTGATTGAAAGTAGATTGAAAGTGAAAGTGGGAATGTGAAGGACATTGTGTAGAGTGAGGTTCTCATTGATCACAACTGTACCAATGTGATCAACTCGGACGGAGGAGCCAGTGGGAAGAGTGACAAAAGTGTCGAGGACATGGTGGTATGAGGTAAAGAATGAAAGGTTGCAACATATATGATCAGATGCACTAATGTCAATGATCCACACATTATGAAGTTCTTGCTGTTGTAGGGCAGTAATGAATGAGATAGTGTATTTACCTGCATTGTTTGGCAGAGGATGGAGGTATCTGGACACTGAATGAACCTGAGCAGAAGTGTTTGGTGACTAGGTGGTGTTGCTGTTAGTAGTCTGTTGGAGGAGCATCAAAAGTATGGTGCAGTCATCATTGGAGAGGCGTAGAGTGGTGGTGGAGTTGTTGGATGCCCTAGAATCATAGGTGTGGTCATTTGAGGTGAAGTCTGGACCTTGGTCTTCTGAGCCCCCGAGAGTGGTAGTTGCTGCAAAGTTTTGACCTGTTTGCTCTCCTCTTTTGCGTTTAATTCGCCAGCAGTCAACAATCACATGGTTGGTCTTCTTGCAATAGTTGCAGAATAGGGTTTGAGAGTTGTTACCAGCGCCCTCAGTCGAGGTCTTCGGAGTAGAGTAGTTTTTTTGGTATGGAGGAGGTTGGTTGGGTCTAGAGTAGTCACCTCGTGGATCCTTACCCTTGGGCTGCTGAGACACAGCTAAAGCCACTAAATCAACCCCTGAACTGTCTTTCAGAGATTGTTTGCCCATTTGTCTTTCAAGCTTCAAGGCATATTTATAGGCAGACTTCAGGTCGGGAGCAGAGTCCATGAGCAGGAGTTGGTTCTTGGTCATCTCAAAATTTTCATTTAGACCAGTAATGAAGTCAATGGTGTGGTCTTGTTCCTGGTTCACAAAAACATAAGTGACACAATAGATGGTATGTGGAGTAGTAGCACATTCACAAGTAGGGATTGATTTGAAAGAGAGGTACTCCTTCCAAAGGACTTCTAATATGTTGTAGTAGTTAGTAACAGAGGTGGTGCCCTGTTTGCAGGTTGAGATTTGAGCTCGAACATTAGCTAAGCAGATTGAATCCACTTCGCCATACCGCTCCTGGAGGTCTTTCCAGAGATCCTGGGCAGTTTCATTGTCCATAGTTGCTTCAGCTATAGAGTCGATAAGAGTGTTCAGGATCCATGATATTGATGTTGCTTTGATCCCAGGCTTCATGGTCATGGTGGGTTGCTTCAGGCATAGGTAAGGTGCCATTGATAAAACCAAGCTTCTTCTTGGTTTTGAGGGTGATTCGCATAGATCTACTCCATACATGGTAATTAGATCCATCAAGTTTAATATAAATGATACCTTGGGATAAGTTTTCGTTAGGAATAACATAGTAGGGATCGATTGCAGGACGTGGAGGAGGATCACGAGTGGTTTGAGCGTCGCCTCTGACATCTTGGGTGGTGGCTGCAGCCATAACGAAACCCTAGAAAGGGCGGCTCAAGGCTCTGATACCATGAGAATGTTTGGTAAACGATAGATGAATTGGTGAGATTCTTTCTGCATTTCACTTGTAGCTCTGCTGCAGATTATATACATTATATGAAGAAGACTACATGATAAAGGTTCTCTAACGACCTCGTCCTCTAAGGTAAATACACGTCTCCTATCTACACAACTATATAACGTATCATTTACAGCTATACAAAACTATGCGTTTCACTTGGAACGCTGCGGATCGCTGGGACCGGGCTGAGCATCTTCTTCCTCCTCCTCTACAGTTGACCGTTGCTAGAAATTTACTCTTCCCAGGTTTCCCTCTTTCACTCCATTCGTAGAGTTCGACAATTATACCGATTGATGATTTAGGTTAGGCCTCTACAAAACACCTGTTATTGACTAAACCCATGGCGTGGTCAAGATAGTTTCTAAGACCTACAATTGCATCAAAGATTCATCGAGTGATTACACCTTCTGCAATCTGAAGATGTTTTCTTTTATTTCTTCAGTGTGAGAAAGGTCAGAAGAATGCATTTGGGCGCTTGTATAAGCTTTATAAAGAGCAACTTGCGGGCTGCAGCTTACTAGTACAAAAGTTTGCATCACTTGAACATAACTGATATCTGCCATAAGATGTATTAATTTTTTCAAAGCTTGATTAGAGTCAACGGCATGAAACCATTTCTCCACAAGTTCAAGTGATGTGCTTGTTCTTCAAATGCCTATCGCACCATGACAGACAGACAAACATAAAGGATAAAGTTGAATCCTAAAATGAAATTCATGTCTGCTGCCATAATTTCTGACCATGTTCATCCCCTAATCCCCATAGATGAGATTCGTAAGCACTTGAAATTTCATCAGATCATACAGTACGCACTCGTGCAGGAATCTGCCAGTTTCAACTTTTCACAAATTGTACTCCTCCAAACACTGTTGAAGGGTTTCCCAGGGGTATTATCAACAGTCTGCATCATGTGATAAAGAGCTTAAGAAACACGACTATGATAATATTTTGCACATCAAATAAAAATAATATGTGTGCCAAGATTAAATGATGTTCTTATAATCTGTAAGATTTTTAGGAAATAAGAACTTACTGTTGAAATATAAAAACCATGTATCTGTTTGTAATTAGCCAGCCGAACTTAGTCTTATATGTATATATGTAACCTGTATCACAGAAAACCCTAACGCGAATAAGAGTTTATCTTGGAGAGTCCTAGCTCTCCCGTGGACTAGTCCTGATCATGAGGGAAACCACATTAAAATCTCGTGTTCTTTAGTTTGTGTTTGCTTATTTGACACTTACCCCTCTCTAAAATCAGTACTTGCATCACTTTGGGTAGAGAATGTCATAGTGACCTGGGCGGTACAACAATGTGATAAAGGGTATGTTAGTGCTTAATTAATCGCCAGACTACTCCGGTACAACAATAGTGACCTGGTTCAGACTGTTGTCTACTTAATTAATCGCCAGATTACTCCGGTGCTCGGTCAGTGTTCTCCATACCAGTCTTTGTTTGGTAAGCTGCCAGACTATTCTGCTTTACGAGTTTTTGGGTGTGTGTGCTTTGTTTTACTTCCTCGTAAAGAGCGTCATAAGCTTGCTCCAAAGACAGCCCGTTGTGTGTTTGTTGGGTATAGTGCGAAACACAAAGGTTACCTATGTTATGATCCGGTGAATCGACGCATGCGTATTGCGTGCCATGTTGTTTTCCTGGAACAAGTGATGTATTACTCAACGACTAGGGATGAATCTGCGGAGAATCTTTGGATTTTTTGATGTCATTACCGACGTTTGAGTCCAATTCCTCCCATGATAATCATGCAGCAACGTTAAATGGGTCTGGGTCTTCATCCAGCGGGTCTCAGTCAGTGAGCTCCTCCTCATCTGACTCTTTTTCGCCTGGCCCAAGCTCTCCACGTACTCCGAGTTCGACGATTGGCTTGTCTACTTCTAGCAGTTCTTGTTCAACCTCCCAGGAATCAGGTGGTTCCTCCTCCTCTTCGGCACGCAATAATGACATGGAACAGCTGTCCCCGCCTGTGGAACAGCCGTTGATCCCCCTTCGCCGCTCGACGCGTGCCACGTTGGGGCAACCACCACCTAGGATGCAAGATTATGTTGGTTATTCGGCTACTTCTATCGTCATTCCTTCGAGCTATGCAGAAGCAAAGGGTGATCCTCGTTGGGAAGGGGCCATGGCGGAGGAATGTGGAGCTCTTGATGCAAATCACACCTGGGATCTTGTACCTCGCACCCCAGACATGACAGTGATTGGCAGTCGTTGGGTGTACAATGTGAAGTTGTTGTCAGATGGTTTGTTGGAGCGTTATAAGGCTCGGGTTGTGGCACAGTGTTTTCGCCAGGTTTATGGAATTGACTATGAGTAGACATTTGCTCCGGTTGTTAAGATGCAGACGGTTCGATGTGTCTTTGCTGTCGCATCTACGCGAGGATGGCCATTGTACCAGTTGGACGTCAAGAATGCTTTCCTTCATGGCGACTTAAAGGAAACGATTTATATGGAACGTCCTCCTGGTTACACTAAGGGCGATTCGAGCATGGTTTGCAAGTTGGTTCAATCTCTGTATGGCCTAAAACAGGCACCGCGTGCCTGGTTTGATAAGTTTCATAGTATGGTGGTACATGAAGGGTTTGTTCAGAGTCAAAACGATCCCTCCTTGTTCATTTGTAGTACAGTTGATGGACTTATTGTCTTGTTGATCTATGTCGATGACATGGTGATCACGGGGAGTGATGCGCAGGGAATTGAGGAGTTGAAAGCATCTTTGCATCGTTCGTTTATTCTTAAAGAGCTGGAAGATGTGGAATACTTTCTGGGTATTCAAGTTCATCGATCGGCTCATGGTTTATTTGTCTCACAAAAGAAGTACATTGGTGACCTGTTAACCACGGCGAGATATGATGAGTGTGTTTCATGTTCGACTCCCATGGAGCAGAACCTGAAATTGACACGTGAGAGTGGCGACATACTGGATGAGGATGGTCAGTCGACGTATCGCAGCCTGGTAGGCAGCCTGATCTATCTTACACATACTCGTCCGGATATATCCTATGCGGTGCAGGTCGTCAGTCAATACATGGGAGCAGCAAGGACGATGCATTTGGACGCCGTTCACAGATTACTGAGGTACTTGAAGCAAACCCAGGATGTGGGACTGTTCTTTCCAGCATATGGGGAGCCTGTGATTGAAGCTTTTGCAGATGAAGATTATGCCGGGTGCAAGGATACCAGGAGATCAACGTCTGGTTGGTGTATCCGGGTGGGCAGGTCGTTTGTATCTTGGCGATGTAAGAAGTAGGATCGAGTTTCCAAGTCGTCCACAGAGGCGGAATATCGATCTATGTCTGAAGTAAGTTCTGAGATGGTGTGGCTGTATAGGTTACTTGAAGAGCTGGGCATGGAATGTCGACGACCTATGAGGATCTTTGGTGATAACACTAGCGCGATACAGATAGCGATCAACCCGGTATTGCATGACAGGACGAAACATATTGAGGTGCATGTCCATTATATCCGGCAGTTGATTGCTGAGGGTTTGATACAAGTTGGATATCTTTCGACTGGAGATCAAACAGCAGATATCCTGACAAAGGCGCTGGCATCAAGCAGGCATTGGTTTCTCTCGTCCAAATTGATGTTACGCACCCTACATCAATTTGAGGGAGGGTGTTGAAATATAAAAACCATGTATCTGTTTGTAATTAGCCAGCCAAACTTAGTCTTATATATATGTAACCTGTATCACAGAAAACCCTAACACGAATAAGAGTTTATCTTGGAGAGTCCTAGCTCTCCCGTGGACTAGTCCTGATCATTAGGGAAATCACGTTAAAATCTCGTGTTCTTTAGTTTGTGTTTGCTTATTTGACATGGTATCAGAGCTACGATACTGACTTGTTCGTTGGTTATATTTTGGACGCGTTTGTGCTCGGCGTTTGGTGGTTTGATCGCAGCGTTCTTGCGCCGCTTGCGTTGCAATTCGGTTGTTGTCTCAGGCTGGGCTAGGCGTCTTTGGGAGGGTCTTTCGGCTGGGTTTTTTCACGAGTTTGTCCAGCGCTAGGTATGGATCCCTCAAAATTCGACTCGGTCTCTATTAAGCTGGATGGGAAGAATTTCCCGCTGTGGGAGTTTCAGTTCAGAAACTTTGTTGCTGGTAAACGATTGTTGGGTGTGTTGACTGGGGAGATTAAAGCCCCTGCTGCCGATGCTTCGGTCAATGATCGTGCATATTGGGAGGCCTCTAATGCGCAACTCATCACATGGCTGGCGGGTTGTGTTGACGTCCCAACTGCCCTAGGTTTGCGGCGCTTTCGTACCGCCGCCGAGATGTGGAATCACCTTACGCGTACACACTCACAGAACAACGTTTCCCGGCAGTTCGAGTTGGAAATTGAAATTGGTCGGCTGGTTCAGGGAGACCTTGATATTCGGGGTTTTTATCAGGCTAGTTTACATCTATGGACAGAATATGATCTGTTGGCGGCTTCTCTGGTTACGGGGGCGGATTCAGTGGCTATCATTGCAGAACGCAGTCGAACTCGTGTTATGCAGTTCTTGTCCAAGCTGCGTTCGGAATTTGAAACGATCAGGGATTCCCTCATTCATCGAGGAGTTACTTCTATGGATGATGTGCTGGGGGAACTAATTTGCGAAGAAACTCGTCTTCGTAGCCAGGCCAAGATTGATAATGTTAGCTCTTCTGAGACCGCATTTGCTGTTGGTCGCTCCGGCTCT